GTGCTGATGCGGGTTGCAAGCGTCATCTCGTCTTTGGACCCGCGTGCCATTGCTTCAAATGAAGCAGCCCGTAAGTGAGACTCGACCAAGGTGGTTGATAGCACGGGGCAGAGAAGCCCCCAAGCCCCTTGTTCTACGAGCGCACACATTGCATGCTTTCGTTTGGTGGCTTGCTGAAGCTCAAGGGTCTTCGTGTGGAGCCAGCGGACGGGAGCGATCCCGCCATTTTGAGGTATAACCAGCCGGCCGGCGTTGGGTAAAGAGGCATGCAGCACGCAAGCCGCTCCTGTGCCGCCCAGTCCTTTCCTGTAATCCGCGCGTCGGGTTCTTTCGACGCCGCCATGCATCCTGTCAAGGAAACCGAGCCTGCGCCTAGAGAAGTCGACGACGGTCAGCCTTACCGAATCAACAGCACGCCCTAAAGAAGAAGAAAAACAAAACATCGATTAAGGCTTCGTCGGATGTCCCAATGATCATTGCAACTCGCAAAGTCTCCGTTTACGCTCCTCCTGCTCGTAGTCAGGGGGCTGTTATGCATTCATCGTGTGGAAAGTTTGTCGCAAAATCTTTACGTAGACGCTTAAATTTGCAGTCGAACGCAGGGAGATGGCACGTTAGAGGGTGATGGCGCCGGGCACCAACTTGGTGCTTTCATTGGTTCAACCGACTCGATGTGTCCCCTCGCCGGAGACTTTAGCGTCCGTTGCACTGGCTCAATGTTGGATGATTGCGGCCATCCATGCCGCCGCGGGCCGGTCATATCATTGGTTGTGTCTAAGGTAGAATCTGAATCTGTAGTAAATAGGGGTCTCTTGCTCAACTGGTCGTTGTTGATGTGGAGTACGTGCGAAGACAACGAGGACCGTCGCTTGGATCGTGCTGACCGGGTAAGCCAGGACCAAGGGGTGAGGAAAGAGCGAATGGGAGGCATAGGCGTGGGCTCCCGAGGGATGCGCAGCAGTGAAGCATGGGTCGGGATAGTGACGATTGCGGCAACCAGAGAGAGACGTCGAAATCAGTGGGTGAGATTTGCGCATGTAGGTGTGCGGAATCGTGGCCTCGTCTGCAATGGCATTGGCCACATCCGACTGTGCCGCCTGGTCGGTGCATAACCATGGCTATGCGGGGGGTCGTATTCTATTGAAAATCAGGTTCATAAGTGATCTCATGACTGACCGACAACGTGCAAGGCAAGGCAAGACGGCAAGCTTGGCGAGGGTGCAAGAAATGCTGCAGGGTGGAATGGGCCGAAGGGATGAGACGATCATAGTGACTTTGACCAGACGTACAATGCAATGGCAGGTGCCGTGGTATGGTACTTTGGAGCAAAGCGACTGTCGGCGGGATCGATAATACGACTTTGGCAATGGCTGGCGATAAACTCTAGAGTCTAGACCAGTCCGTAAAGTGAGCGATCCCACACAAGACGACGACGATGGTCCACTGACCCAAGAGATTGGGCTGCATCCGAGTCGAAGTTTGGTACGCGCAGATGGCGATTCAGGCGAGCCGGGACAATGCTTGTCTGGGACAGGGTACATGGTGCCGAAAATCCATCATGTTGGCGGTGGGTTCGAGGCCATGAACGAACAGTGGATTGTAAAATGAAGTTTCATTCTTCTTCTGGCAAAGGTAGACGAAGGCGAGCCGCGACGGGGCAGAGCACATGGGAGATTGGCGTCAAGGGAGGCATGGCATCGCATCTTTTGTCGTATGTTTCTGGCTGACCCCAGAATGTTGCATCGGCAGTAGGATTTGGATTATGGATGATGGATCACGACCATGGAGATGGCCTCGTAGTGCCATGCCCATGTCGGCGTTGAAGCCCAACTATGGATGCTTTTGTGTATCCGAACCGCCGGGTCCCTTGCCGTGTACGCCAGCGCCATTGCGACTCTTGGGATGCTTCGTTTTTCTGATTTTGTCGTTGTGGCCTCCCCAGGAGCAGGCTACAATGTAACACAGTAGCATTGATGAATGCACATGTGTGGCTGATGACACTAGGGAATCTGGGAGACTGGCAAGCCGCAAGACTGGGTATCGGGATGGACTTGGGAGGTGCGAGGTGGGAGCATCCATAGGGCTGAGTCTGCCAGCCACCGCCGGGCTGGCAAACTCTCAAGTGCAGCAGGCAGTCGCAGTCGCAGTTGCATTTGCAGTTGCAGTTACGGTCGGGTTGCAATTGCAGGGAGGATGAGATCAGGGGGAAGGCGCCGTCTGCGTTGTTCCCAAGGTACCGTACTCCCTCCGCAGTCACTGCCTTCCGTTGTGCAATTGCTGAGGTAATGGAAGGAACTACGGAGTACCTAGGTACCTTAGGCACGGAACGTACCTACCTAGATACCTTGCCTTCCATTTGTGAACATCGCGTGAAGGTCCCGGCATCTGGCGTGTGTCTTTCTTTCCTCGCCTCAGATATTGTCATACCTGGTATTTAAACGCACACGAATGTCTACTTGGACATGGAAGTTCTCAACCACTCAGCGAAGAGGGGAGGAGTATCCGTAATTAGCTCCTGCTCTCGATGCGATTGGCTTCTCCACGAAACCGCTTGTCCTGCCGGAGCACGGGGGGTGGTAGATTTTACTGCCACTGCGCAGTCTATGGCAGAGACAAGTGTCGCGAGCGTCAGATGTGGACACGGGGCGATCCTGCATCATCTTCCATGTCGTTGCAGTTGTTTGCTCGAATCACTGGCCGACTAGCCAAGATGCGGAGGTGAGGCACAAACGGAAGCACAGGGTTGGGCCACAGCATGCAGATGCTCGAGACACCGACACCCATCATCCGAATGCTTGGGACGAGACGGACGGGACGACAGGCAGACAGGTGCAGGGACGAACAGCGCAAGGGTCGTCGGTACCACGGTGGAGACATTGGAAGGGAGGGGTGCTTCGCACGGACCAGAGCATTTCCTAATTCGGCAAGCTGTGCGATAGCCTCACCCTCGACTTTCCTCCACTGACTGGCAGGCCGTAGGTACGGCAGGTACGGACAACTTCACCATGAACTGAGGTGTACAGATTGGAGATCCGACTGGTGATGTCCACAATGCTACCTTACTCCGTCCGTACGGGCTTTACTTTGCCATGCAACACAGAACTCCGTACGCAATTACCAGAGTCTCTCCAGTCTGCCGTGGACATAGTAGTTGGAAATTGACTGAACACCCATGGCCCATGGGAGTCGAGACCAAACATGACGGGAATGCGGGTTCAGTCAGTTTGATACCTGCTCAGAAGTTAGCACGGCCTGAGCCCCAACCTTTCGATTATCAGACTGAACCCCTTCCCCGGCCCAAGGTAAGGTAGGTTGTCTTATGCCAAAAGACACAAGACCCCAAACGTCGGTCGACTGTAAAGATTTGCGCACACCTGAGTACCGAGTCTACGCAGACGGAAGAAGTGCTCCATGGCCCTCACACAAGACTCCAAGACCTTCTCAGAAGCATCGTCATTGTTGCCAGCATTCTTCAATGGTTCTGGGTTACATCTCGCATTCTGCGGGGCGGCAGTACGGTGGATTCCCTGTCGTGATTTCCATTGCAGCGTCACTCACCTGGCGGTGACGGCGGTGACGGCGGAACGCGGGAAGAGAACAGCGTTTTTGATTGGACCTTGCAATGGACAGTTTTCATTGGTTGATGAAGCGACGATCGATGATTAAGGTTCCTGGGATCGGCGTCGCCGAACAGAATAGCAGCAGGTGGGGTCCATACCTCATAGACCTATCAGAGACCTCTCACAGACCTCACACAGGGAAATATCTCGGATACGTACTTTCTGTCTCCATTATGAATGGAGACGAACGAATCAGAAGACGCCAATGTAGTTCCGTTTCCTCAATACCGCGGAATGAGAGACCCATCCACCGTCATTCCGTGTCCTACGGAGTCACATTCCTCATCCTCAAGCCTCAACCTGTTCACTGCTCAGTCAATAATCAGTCACCATACACTATGAAGTACCTAGCCCAACAGTGCTCTCCTAGGGTCATAGCGTGGAACTCCACGATCCACGATGCCACCGACAACCGTTGAAGCTTGTGTGGTTCTCGAATGTCGACGACGTTGGCTAGACTGGCGACTGCCTCATCGGATGGCTGAGACTTGGGCCCGCAGAGATTCGGTCGTTGGTTGCCATTTCAGATATCCATGCCAACGTTTCAAATACCCATCTTTCACTTGCTAAACCCGACCTTTTCTAGGAACTGAGGCGTTTCTATTGAGTCGGTTGTCGTTGTCGTCGTCACGTCGAGTCGTTACACCCAAGTCAGAAGCTCCAATATTGTTCACGGCCCGGGGCAACACTGCATACCTGGCCGCTGCCGGCCAATGGCTCGCATCCGATGGGATATCGACTCGGATTGGCGGGTTCGCATTCTTCGAGCAGAAGCATTGGCAGACAAAGAAAGGTTGGGTGTCTCGTTTCCCGACAAAATCAAACAAAAGTAACTCCGTACTCCATACTCCATACTGATACCTACCGCAGGGTTGGACGCATCCCTCATGCCTGTCTATCCGTATACGAAGTATGAACTGCCGTCGCGGCACCTCATGACTGAAGAAAAGACGATTGCAGGCATGTCTCGATTCTCGACTCCTCGTCGACTTTCAGTCTCTTGTCACTGTCATGATCCACACGGGTCATGCGGATGTCATAAACGCGGGCGGGGTCACGAGCTGCCAGGGCTCAGAGCCGGCCTTGATGTCTCTCAAGGCAGCAGCATTTCGACCGTGGTTGCTTTTCTGTGTCGAATAGACGAGATGCAGGCTTTGTACAGCAAAATTACGCTAGCCAGGGGCCCAAGTTGCCTGCCCTGGGGATCATTTTTACCCATGTTTTCTTTTCCACCCACGCTGCACCCACCCAGACGTGCGAGACAAGAGGGGGAAAGATGAACACCAGGGCTTTGGGCAGCAAATCGAGCCGTGTGTTTGCAGGACCCGTTTCTCTGGATTCCGCAGATCTCATATTGCAGGGTTTGGCCTTACCAAATCGATGCTGAGGACGCTTGCGACGAATACAGTAATAGTAAACGAGAATGACAAGGGAGCCCAGGCCCAAAACGGCTTGGGGCGGGCTGTCTTGGTGCGTCGGGGAAGTGTGGGAAGGGAAGCGGGCACGGCGGGGCGGGAGGATGCTAGCGATTTGAAGACTCGAGCCAAGCATCGACCCGTGGGCCTTGTCTTCTGCCCCCAAGGGCCCAAGACTGTTACACAGACCATCACCACGCCTGAGCAGGTTGCGACGTCGGCCAAGTCTAGTCTGGGCCTCTACTGGGCTAGGGCGACGACGGCGCGATACTGCGTGATGGTCTGGGGGGTTTGCTAGTGTATGGCAAAATCAACGGTTTTGCCCGTGCCGCAATGGCTTGTGGCGGACTGGCGGCATCTGCCTCCAGGCTTACTGCTTGCCAGGCCTGCCAAAGTAGACGGGCACCAGGTTGGCATAGCCTGTAGCGTGATGGACCAGACTCCTGGGACGACGATTCAACTCTGGGGTGTGAGAGTCGGTTGTTGACAGTCTACAGACAACAGTACCTGCGTGCAGAGCCGTGTCCTGTAGGCATTCCTTTGAAGCACGATGCGCTTGCCACCACCAACTCGCTGTGAGTTGGCCGTTGTTTCTTCCATTTGGGGGCCAGGACCAGACCACACGCGGAGGCTTTCGCCTCAAAGCTTCGCTAGAGGGCCCAGGGCCATGGATATGAGAGGAGAGCTGGGAGACCCTGTTATGAATGTGTCTGGCTAATCTATGAAGAACTGCCAGGATATCAAGCCATCGACGTCTAGCTCAGGACCGAAGCCGTTCCCAGACCGATCATGTCCTTGATGTTTCATGGCCCTTGCAGAGAGATGGAGAGGAGTAATTAGCAGTATTTGGTAAGATAGGCACGGCATCTCTGCCCATACTCCCTTCCATAACAAGTTAACAATCTAGTGCCCACTTGTTCGGTGCCACTAACAAGAGCAAGAGGAGAAAAGACATAGAAATGAAAGGAGTGGGGCTTGTGAGAGTGCAAGTTGTGGATCATGGTCGGGGCGGGGAGAGAGAAAGGGGGGTGTGGAAGACGAAGAAGCGGTGCGGAACACGTGAGAGACAGTGGTACGTACTGCTTCGCGGGCAAGTGGAGATGGAACAAGACTGCGAGATTGTGACTCGGTACGTACTGACTTGGATGAGGCAGCAAGAAAGAATGAAAGAAACGTCCCCACCACGCGTCAAATCAAGGTTTCTATCTTTAACCCCAAATGAGATAAACTCCGAACACACGCAGCACAAGCGTCTTCCCTGCCGTCCACAGATGCCTTACACAGTTCACTACGCAAGAAAAGAGCGGGGACCGCAAGGCACACATTCCCCCGCTGCTTCATGCTCTCCCAGAGAAAGCCTCGCCTACTGCACCACATACATTGCATCTTGACCGACCTCCATCACAGTACCACACTACACTACGACAGCGGACAGTGGTGATCCAGGCAAGCCAGGTTGTCCTCTACATACAATGGATCTGGATATACCCCTAGGCGCTATGGCACTTGGAGCCGCTTGCTAACGAGACCCGAACAGACCATGCATGCCTATACCTTGCCCGCCCAGAGTTCTGAAAACCAAGGTAAGGTTGTCAGTCCCTTGGCCCTTCACACTACCAGGTGCGGCATCTACATACGCAGTAAAGGACCCCTCCCACTAACCGTCGTATACCGAATCCGGTTTGGCCTGAAATTCACTGAACCTCTTGGCTTGGGCTTCGTTCACATGGAGAGCGGATCCCTTTTTTCTCCTTCCCCTCGGCCTTACTACGACTACACTACCAAATGGACGAACCTACGGCACTGTCGTACAGGCTTCAACCCCGTTCCAAACCTTCCGCGGAATGCCCCCAGTTCCCTGCCAAGCGTGCCTTGGCCATTGCAAAGTCTCGCCCATCTTCATTATTCCACAGTACTTGGAGTACGAGATCATGGGCATGCATAGCTTGACGAAAGTGGGCGCGCGAGCATGCACATACAGTACGGATACTCCAGTCTCCGTGGAGGAAAAAGAAAAGAAATAAGATCGGTGCCCACGGCTTCTGTGATCTCAATCTCTTAGGGCGGGGGGGGACACAGCGGGGAGAGGGCCTGGCCTGGACCGTCGAATAGACGTCAAATGGCTACCTGACGTTTTTATGCCCTGACAGACAGGGGAAGCAAAAAGATGATGGAGTGTCGTTGAAGACAATTACGCGCTACCTGCGATTGGCTCCTCCATCAGGTCTCACCCGTTGTGAAAAAGCATGTAATTGGGATACGTTCGGCCAAAACGTCCACGCTCGCAAGCACCCCCCGCAAATTCATCCAAACATGTACCTACTTACTCGGCATTGGACGATTCGTTATCGTCCCATCACTCAGGATGAATGGAGAGAGCATCACAATCGCGCAAAGGGAACTGCATTCAGTCGTCCGCTGCTCCTCTTTCGGACCACTATCTCGGAGAGCCAGCAGTATCAGGTAAGGGATGGGAGATGTGGAAAGAAACCAAAGGAGAAGAAAATCGCATCTCTTACCAATCGGCGCTACCCCCGTTTGCAAAAACAACCCTTTCCGACTCCCGACATTCGTCTGCCCTTTTTTTTTTTTGCTCATCGTGATAGGTTGGCCGGCGGGAGATTGTCCTAGTATCAGTATGCAGGCTTTCCAAAATGGGTTTGGCGTATCGACGTGTGGAGAGCTGAGGACGGGGGGACAAGACAGGCCCATGGGCTCATCAGTCACTCTTTCCCTCCCCCCCTTGGCCCTGGAAGTATTATACCGAATTTTTCGCAGTACGGATACTGAATCCCCTCCCCAATCCCCGTCGCCATCGTCTACTCCGTACTCCGTCACGTCCGTACGTACGGTCGGCGGCCTGCGGTCTGCGGCAGGTTTCCCCCTGTCCTATCCACTGATGAGGAATTATGGCTACCCGTCTTGTAGATCCGATGCTACGTCAAAGGTGAGCCGTCACCCGTGGGACTTCTCTGGGAGGTCAATAATGATCGACATATCAAACATGATGTGCCAAATCCCGGTCTCTTCTCTCAGTCTGCGTGCCTGCGAGGGGGGAAGGGGAGGGGCTTGGGGGGTCCGGAAGACAGATGACAGAGAGTGATCCACGAGATCCAGTGCTTCCATCATCCATGCGTGCCATGATCTCACTGAGAAAATGCAGAAGGGATAGGCAATGATACCTGGTAGCTCCGTAGGTAATCCGTAGGCAACTACATAGGTCTCTCGACGGGAACGAAACGATGTCACGATCTGCCAGGATAGACGGAATTACGCAATGACACAAGCCTCACCTTTCTGTATTCGCTACTCTTACTCTATTTTCCAAGGTTCCTCTCTCTTGGATTCTCGCGCATTCGTTCTTCCTTCTCTCTCCGGGTCTCCCTGCAGCGTAGATCCTGCGCCAGTCCCAGGAACCCCAGGGCTGTTCTCCTTATTCTTTCTTTTCTTCGTTTCCCAGACCGCCGCTTGAATGCGAAGTCGTGCTCAGGCACTCTGGGTCCACCAGCACCAGCAGCAGCTGGGCCCAGGTGTTTTTTTCACCGTTACATCGGAGACGAGAAAGAAGGTTTGATTCTCCAGTGGTATCCGTATTACACAGTACACTACCGCAATCACATGGAGGCTTGTCTGGCTGGAGGCAGAATCTTTTCTGTTCGGTCTTGTCCGCGGGCCGGGGGTTCCATGCTTCACGATGAGCCGGGGGCCGTAGAATAACTGAAGCCTTTTCGACAACCGCCAAGTAGTCGTGATGCGAGTCTTTTTTTAGTGGGAAAGAATTTCCCTTAGGAGGCAGCCCAATCTTTGACTACCGTGGCTACGTAGTTCTTGTCCCTGTTGAGCTGGGTTTCCGTCCAATACTCTCTCCCATAGAGGCGCTCCAGATTCTCAAGCGTGGACACCCCCTCCCCCTACCTACTCCTCCATGATATCGCGCCTACTATCGTTCGTCCCTTGAGTTTAATGTATGTACGTGTATGCGTTATTCCCCGATGGGAGGATGGGAGGGGGCGTCCAAGGGTCACCACATCATATACACATTCACTCTCCCCTCCCAGGCCGTCCAGACGCCGTCCCCGTGCCACGAAAATGAGATGTGTGTGTGTGTGTGTAAGGCGGGAAGCAAGCCAAGTCCCAGCCCAGTCCAGGCCAGCCCAGACGCCGTGATACCTGCGTCTACTGTCTGCCGGCAGCGGGCGGGTGTTGGTGATGGAGCAACCCGCCCGGATCCCTATTTCGGGGAGTTTCTTTCCTCTCTCCGGTTTTCGCAGATGAGGAAGGGAATAATATCTCCGTAGCGCCTGCAAGAGTGAGATGGAGGCGCCGCGGGCAGGTAGCCGGGACCTCGCGGTGACCATAGTGATATCTTGGGTTATTGGTTGTGTTTGTTTTTGTCTGCATATAGAGTCCGCTGTTACACAATATCGGACTGTGATCCATATCTGCCGTATTACCCTTATCACAGAAACAGGAACACGCGAAAAAGCCCCTTCATGGTGGTGTTGCTGCCGTACGTTGAGTCTCACACTCAACGACTGAAGTTTCCCAACAGCCCGGTTCGAGAGGCGCTTCCCGCGAGAGGAAAATCCTTGCTGGTCGGAACCAACGCAGCCCAACCATCCTAGCTTAACAAGGCGAGAAATCACTAACAAAGTAAACCACCATCGACGACACCAAAAGGCTCGCACTCACACGCGCACACACACCACCACCAGATCCTGCCGTGCCTTGGTTCCCCTCCAACGGGCCGGGGAGGAAAGATGGACGATGAGCCTAAGTCTTTAGAGACAACCATCTTCTTTTCTTCCTGGGTGCCACAATTGGTCCAGCCCGGAGTTGCGGTCTTGCACGGCTAGGTATTGCTATTCTTTCCGTCTTCAGCCATGAAGGAGAGTCCGAAGACTGGCATAAGATGGTATGAGACTATCGAGATATAAGACCGGCTTGAAAATAAGCTCTTTCTTTTTTGGTAGCCCACTGGGCTTGAGCTTCAGAAAAAGAATCTTCACGCTTGACAACAGCGTCACACGAAGGACAGCTTATCTCGGAGTGAGAGAGGGGTAGCGGAACAGTCGTTTGACACAACACTGTTTACATGCCAAAAACAAAGTCTGGCCTGGCCTTTCCACCTTGTGATAAAACCGCACCAGTATTCTAGACCATCAATGCCTTGCCACGAGGGACTGGAAGTTGAGGTCTTTGACCGGCCAGGTTTCTCTACACGACGTGGCGCGTGGTCTCTGCCGTCAACTTTGCAAACGCCCCGGCCTTGCAGGTGTCTCACTCCGCTCGAGCGCTCTATACCGCCCCAACTTTTCCGCGGTCCTTGAACCAAAGAAAGAGTGGCCGGCCACTTGGCTGGGTTGTTTTTGGCGCCGTGCTAACCGTTGCAGAATATGATAGCGGTTTGGTGAAGTGTGATGGGATAGACTGGCAAGTGGGCGCCTGGATGGTAGCATCGGGGATCTCTACTTGCAGTAGGGACGAAGCACAATGGCTTGTGACAGGGTAACAAACGAGGAGTTTTTACTAGTGTCCAACAAACGCCTTTGAGATACCGGCGTTGTCGGACTTTGCTTCTTTATGAGGTGGTTCCTCGTGGCGTCGTCCCATATCGCACCACCCCCTCTTCTCTGCGATGCATAGCAACGGCGGGAAAAACCGAAGAAAACATCAAAGTATCTCTCGGCACTTCTAGAGAATACGGGATTACTCGACCGTCGACCGAGAGCACGGGTGGACCCTGGCTTCAGATGAGACTGCCGTCCTTGCTCGCCGCGTGTAACTTCGGGGACTACGCAGTAGATCGTACGTGCGAGATGAAAAGTGACCACAAACAGCAACAGTGTCGGGAGGTTTTGTCCGCCCCCAGCGTTTGAGCGAAGGCGAAATAAGGCAAAGCTACCCGTGATGGTATCCATCTGCCATTACCGCAGTCTTGGGTCCGGAAGCACCCAGACTCTCGGGACTAACACATGCATCCCAGCAAAAAGAGGCGTCACGCCGGCTTCTGCTAAGGGGACGAAAAAAGGCCACTAAGCCAGCGTAAGGGTAGTCCCCCCAAACGGGAGTCGCCTCTCCTCTCCCTCTCACTAATCCCTCGAACAATGGGCTTAGGTACGATACCGTTGAAAGGGGTGGAGGGAAATAGGTCTAGGCCCGAGGGGAGACGCGGGCTTTGACTAGTCCTTGGACGCACACACGCCCGAGAGGTCGGGTCAGCACAGTGACAATGAGCAAAACGTCGAAGTCTTCTTCTGCCTCCCCCGTCCCCTTGCTTTCCCTTTGCCATCTGTGCCTGTGCTAGGCTAGTCTGTGGGCTAGAGGGGGCCAGTAGAGTTTAGATGAAGAAAAGGAACGCATCAAGGCTATACGGCATCTAGATTCTAGACACTTGAGGCAAAAAACGCCAGGAGAGATTGAGTTGGAACCTTGGGAGATGGGGCTGGGTTTATTCTGCCCGCCCCTCTGTGCAGAGATCAAAAACAAAGAAGCCGCAGTGTGAAGAGGCAATGAACGGGCGTTGGAAAACCAATCAACGCAAAAATCGCAAACGAGTCTCACAACCCCCCAAGTGTGTAGGACCCGAAGCAACGGGTTCTGACCGGCGCCACGCCCGCCTCCCGACGATTTCGAAGGGTTGCAACTTGCGGGCGGGATAAGGCTTTTTTTTCACTCTCCGAAGGGGGTCTGCTGCCGTGGCCGCGAGGCTAGACGACGAAATGCCACACGAGACGGATCAAAGTTGCCTCAAAGGCCCTAGGCTCGTCCAAAACCACGTGTGGATGATTGCGCAGGGGTCGCCTTTGTAGGCGAGCGCGGGAAGAAGCTTGGAGCACACGATGGCGGGCTTCGCGTAGAGTATTCGGGTCTAGCTTGTTAGCTCTGAGAGGAAAGCCCGGCGTGGTCATTGAATCAGTTGTGAATCTAGACGAGTCTGTCCATCCCCCGGACCCTCCTTCGCTCGCGATACCCTCGCTGCTGCGGGGATGGGAAAGGCGCGGCGTGGGATGTTCTGCAAAGACTACACCGACGGCGAGGCGAGGCAGGCCGAGGGTGGTACGGGCGATTATGCAGGAGTCGGGGTCGGAGGCGGAAGCGGAGAGGCACGTGAGAGGTGGGAACTTGGGTTGGAAGTGTGACGGGTTGACATGGCCGGTAGATGGATGAGGAAACCTGGAGTCCTGGGCAGTCGTGACCAGACCAAATCGATAGTCTCAATCCTTCGCGCTCCACTGCCGAAGAACAGCATCATGAATGAGTAGGTGGCGGGTAGATTACCAGCGAGCAGCCGGCGGCGAACCGGGGCGGCCAAGTATTTTGACATTGTCACATTTCACCGGCGATGAGCATCATTTCGCGGCTCCCTTGAATGATCAAAATCGTATTAAATCCGGCGCTACAGATGACTTGTTGTCGTTGAGAGACTTGGTAGCTAAAGATCGGAATCGGAGTCGGAGTCCAAGACAGACAAGGGCATGGGTGACAGGGGAGCAGGCATGGAGATGATGTTCACGTTCTCGGACGAAAAGCCATCCGAGATTAGTCGCTGCAAGGTGAGGTGGAAGATGGTCGCCGACCACTCTTGCACATCTTTTCCCGAGCGAATCGCTGCCCCCTTTGTCGTCGAGACTCCAAAGGTGTGGTTGAAATAACTGACAGAGGCGTGACAGCAGGGAAACGGGAAATACCTAGAGAAAGAGAGGTCGGTAAGTTGGTATTCGTACGGATACAATGTCGATCCTTGAACCTCGCGCGGAGGGGTGCTCCCTGGGCAGGGAAAAGACTGAAAAGATCGACACGCCAATTCTGTCATTGTTTCTTCTTCCCTTAACCGCGGGGGGGTGCCAGTGCCACGGTGCCTGGCAAGCCGCAAATGCAGACTCAAGAGAACCAGGTCCCCCCCGTCGCCTTTGGCTTGCCTGAGTAGCCCTGCCTTCCTCGCAACTCTCCACCCGAGTGGTAGCCAAGCAGAAGCCACGGAAAGACAGAAATGCAGGGGCTCTGGGGGTGCCATTCTCAAGAGGGAAAATGCCTGGGATGATGGTGCTGTTGCATCCAGTGGCCGTATCCGGCTTGGGGCGCGAATCTTGGTGTGTGTATCAATCGCACTCCTCGGACTTCGGCGTCGGAGCTGCTGGTGATGCCCTCAACTCCTCTCATGGGTGTGTGTACACTATGCGTGTGGTTGGTGTTCATGGGTAGAGTTAGCTTGACAGCCCACCATCCCGGTCAAGCTACGACCTTCCCTACAGAGTATGCTGCTGTACGCGATGTACTGATCTCCACGGCGCGAACCCATTGTGTGGCCCGGAAACCCAGCGCCAATCTTTGGGGATGGGGGAGGGTTGCACGACATAGGGAGCCCGTAGCAGACAGGTATCTCTTCCCCATGCTGACAGCTGGTTCGCTTGAGGAGGGACAAGGCTCTATACAACGGGTTTCAATATCCATGAGAACCCCCCCAGTCCGTACCCAAGAAGCTTGCCTACGGCCGTATGTGAGCATGTACATATGGGTGATGTACGTATGCAATGCGGGCAGGGCCACCGTCCACGACTTACCCCCATGCCCTGCAGCGCGGCAGCTGGCTCCGTTCGTACCACGGTCTATCATATCACGGGAACACAAATATCATAACTCAACTCGGACACTTGGGTGCCAGCGTTTGTGGGCCAGTCAACCTTCGCCGTGCTCTCGTCGCTAAGTGCATCGCTTCCGGCCTCGTCTATTGCGGAATTGTGACCGCGGCGGAACCTCTTGATTGCCCGCCGAGCCTCATCCCCAGTATCGTGATGTGTGCTGTATTGCAGAAAGCATATCATTCTGCCTACCACGAGGCTTTCCTCGGTGCTGAGAAGCCTCGTGAGGGCTTTCTTACCGTCACACGCTGTCACTTGATGTGACTTAGCCAATCCAAAGTCTCCAAATCGAGATAGTCTTCACTACCATACCGTCGCCCCGTCTATCTCGCCCTGTAGCATACATAGCCATCATACAGTTGCAACCTCGCTTCGCCAGCCCCATCCACCAGGTACACCGTCACCGAGTTGGTTCATGCCTGAAGCTTTGCATATGTCCATGACGATGCCTCTCACAGCCCTCACCTCCTCGGCAGATGCGCCACCGTTGAGAGCGCCTTTGAGATGACCCTTCAGCTGAGGATTCACATCCTGCGGTATCAACCCCGCAATGAGAACGTAGGATGTCTCTACTGGAGACAGAACGTTGGTATTGCTGAGTATGTACCCATACATCAGCCGGGCGGTTAAACCGAGGTCTTCCGTGCCCGAGCGGTCCATCTGACTCATTACCCGTCTCGATATCTTGCCGTAGATGTTATCCCAGAAGCCCTGGCCGCGCTGCAAGATCTTGGAAGAGGGAGTGTGGTGTATGTCCACATGCCGTGCAGTCGGCGATGAAGAAAGCGTATCATTCGCACCTTGCGGCTCATCTAGTAGGTGCTCCGGTGTCACTTTCTTCAACTCCATGAGAGAATTGATGGTCTACTTCATGTCAGTGACTGTTTCCAAGTAGAGAAGTACAGTATGAAACCGGTACCTTGGGCAGGCCTCCAACTGCAGAAGCCTTGACGAGTGCTTCACGTAGCTTCCTCAAGATTGTGAGGTGTTCCTCCGGGCCCGGCTTCACATCATCAGGACCGAGGCCGTGTTTCATGACATGATTGTAGACTTGCGGTATCTCATCTGGCCGATTCAGTATGGTCAAAGTCGTGGCAGCAATGAAATACCAAGCATGCTTGGGAACATGTGGTTGATTCTTCAGCGATGTGAGGAGCGCTGGAGTAGCAATGGGCATCAATCCAGCTGTCATCGTGGCCATGGATGAAGCACGAGGGAGGTAGAAAAGTGAGGTTTTACGACCAAGTTATCATTGTCGCATTTACCGAGGCAGACAGATGACTTTCCAAAATACCACTTCAACTTCCTCAGCAGGGAGATGGGAAACGACTACGGCGTCTCCTTTGGCAAAAGCTATCCGTTCTCAAGCGGACATGAGAAGAGCGCCGTCCAACTCATCGCGGAAGACGAACGCTGTCATCCTTATCGGGGGCTCGGTGACCAAGATAAGGAACGGCAGGGCCGGCCTGTCGTTTGAATCGTGGCCGGAGTCGGCTTAATGTAGCCCCGATTCAGTCACCTTGTGTAACGAACCATCACGTGCTCCACCTCCAACCTTCCCGCGCTACCGCGTTGAGGTAGTTGGATACTGTGGCGTCACTGCTCTGCTCAGGTAATCCACCGCAGCAAGTGGATGCTTGTCATTAACGTGGCATCAACTACGGCCTCCGAAAGAGACGTACTACCACGCCAACACCGCGCATCCGGACTTTCTTTGGCCTGCATCAACAACATGGGCACCTGAGGGCTTCCCTCACTCCACATCACCAATTCCCGTGCTAACAGCCCATCAAAAGTCAAGATGAGGCTCGCGTGGTACGCAGGGGTAAGTGACGCTGTTGGAGCTATCGAACAAGCTCCGTTCGCATAGCTCCGTCTCCGCCAGACACGCCTGGCCATCTCGGAGCTGTAACTTGCTGACCCAGAGACATAGGTTTCCACGGCCCTGGCGGCCTCGGTCGTCGTATCAGCCTTCCACCAACGAGCCAACTTTTACTCGGCCATGGTCTACCTCGCGCAGAGCAACTTCTGCTTATTGGTGCGTTATCTGGCCTTCCTCGTGGTCCCGCTGCAACCGAAGCTGATTAGTGCTTCCAGGTCCTGGTCAACTTCATTTACCTCATCTACGGTACCCTGATATACGGCCTGCAACGACTCCTGTATGGCCCGCTGCGACAAGTTGAAGTCGAGCAACTTTCCGAAAAAGCCTGGTTCGCTATTACCGAAACATGCCTCGCGATGACGATATTCCGGGAGGAGATTGGCGCGTGGTTCCTCGTCATGTTTACCGCACTGGTGACAGGCAAGGTCTGGGGCTGGATTGGCGATGGCCGCGTTGAGGTTCTCGAGCAACAGCCTCCTGCGAACCCGGGTCTCTTCCACACTAGGCTCAGCTTGTCACTCCTCTTAAGCTTGGTATACGACACTTGGCTCCTTCGATACACTGTCTCTACAGTTATCCAACAAGCACGTCCTAACATGATGGTCATGTTCCTCTTCGAATTCGCTGTTTTGGCAACATGCTCAGCACGAACCGGAATTCGGTACTTGGTGTCAGTGATGGAGCAGAACATTGTCAAGACGCAAACGAGATTGCGCCTGGAGGAGCGACGAAGACAAGTTCGCGAGGAGCGCGAGGAACTCATCCGACAGCGCGAACAAAACGGTGCGGGTGAGGATCAGCCCGAATTGCCTCGTGAGGAGGACATTGATGAAATGGACATTGAGGTTCCTGGATGGGAGGCAAAGGGTCAGTGGATACTGATCCTGGACCTTTTCGCTGGTAAGTTACACCGAAACTCTGCGGCCGTGGCCATGCTTTGACAATATCCAGATTGTGTGAAACTGGCCATCTACCTGGTGTTCTTCGGCATCTTGCTCACATTCTACGGCTTGCCGATTCACATCATGCGTGACCTTTTCATGACAGCCAGATCTGTCATTAAGAGGGGTTCAGCACTGTGGCGCTATCGCAAGGCTGTCGAAGACATGAACAAGTATCCTGACGCTACCGAGGAGGATTTGGGACGAGAGGATACATGTATCATCTGCCGAGAGGAGATGCGTCCCTGGGACCCAAGCAACGGGGCCGTCGAACGTGTGCGACCTAAAAAGCTTCCGTGTGGACATATTCTACACTTTGGATGCCTCAAGAGTTGGCTTGAGCGTCAACAAGTCTGTCCTACCTGCCGAAGCCCTGTTGTCATTACGAACAACAACAATAATGGCGCCGTACCGCAGAATCGGGACGCAATGTTCGCTAGGATTGGTCTCGGCGGGCTCGGAGCTGCGCCTGCTGTCCCACCTGGCCAGCAACCGCCTGCGAACCATGCACCAGGCGCCGCTCCCGGCGGCCAGCCAGCTCAGCAACCGCCCCGAAACGGTGCAGCGCGAGTCTTCCAGCTTGGCCCTCTCCGCCTCGGTTTCGCCCAGGGCGAGAACATGCAGCAGTTGGCACAGCAAATGGGTGTTCCCCAGGAGGCCATCCCTGCACCCTTCGCTCAGGGCGGTCCCGCTGGCCCTTTTACGCCCGCTGCACAAACGCCAGGCGGTAACAACATGCCAGCTATCCGGCAGCAGATTCAACAGCTCGAGCAGATGATACAGCGTGAGGTGTCAACCCTTCAGAGCATGCACCAGGAACTGCAGACACTACATCTTCTTACAGCAGAGCTGAGCCGTATTCGCCAGCTGCAGCAGCTTACAGAACAGGCCCAAAACGTACCCCAGAATCCTGGACCGACCCCGCCGGTGTTCAACCTGGGCCAGCCACAGCAGATGCCACTTCCGGCAATGTCGTTATCGCAAGTGCCCATCCATCATACCCTGCGTGTGAACGGCCCAGTAGTGACACGGCATGGAGCCGCAAACCACTCCAACGCAATTCCGGCCGGCAGCTCTGAGCTCCCAGAAGGCGTAGTGATCCCACCTGGATGGTCACTTCTTCCTCTTCAGCGGATAGAAGGCGCCCCCGGATCTCAGCCCTTCCCCGAAAGGCCGTTGTCGGCGTCGGGCGAGACAGCTCAGCCTTCGGAGGCACCTGTCCCGCAAGCTCCAGTCGTTGGCGTGACCCAGGATGCCGACTCAACTCACCCTGCTACGAATGACTTCTCAACGCGCTCTACCGTCCACGAGCAAAGACAGGAGCCCGTTGGCTCTGGTCACGATGTCTCCACGAATCAGACGGACCCGCCGCCGGTCCTTGCCCCGAACCCGGTGCTACCTAACTGGGGCGGTGCGAACCAGCTTTTCGGCAACGGACGTGGTTTGCCGGGATTGGGCAACAACGCCCCATCGGAGACGTCTATCGATGAACCCCCGAGATACGATGAGGACGCGCCTAGAAGTTCGCCAGAGAAGACGTCCGCCACGGCCC